TAATAATATTTTTTTGTTATCGTCTTAATAAATATCCAAATTAAATTGATTTGTTTCCATGTATAATAAATATCCAAATTAAATTGATTTGTTTCCATGTATAAAAAAAAATTAATTTGTTGCCACAATACTTTAAGTTTTTAAACTTGATGTTTAAGAGAGTATTGATTATGATTTAATTAAACAACTTTGTAATTAAAGAAATATAATTGCATTAGAAAACAATTCAGAATACAAGTCAATAAATAGATTAGCAAAAACACTTAATTTGAGCACTTTGAGCACTTACCCATCTTTCATAAAGCTACCTATAAAAAAGTCCACTTCAATTGTTTCAAATAGCACAACAACACAAGCATCTCCGAGTTCAATTATCGAATCCCCTTTGGCACCTAACGGAATACATTAAGTTCAATTCTATATAGCTAGATTTTAGGTTCAAAAATTTTCAATTCTATATAGCTAGAGTTTTAGGTTCAAAAATTTAAAAGATTAACGTTTTGTAGTTTTGAATTAGATTATGTTGTTTAAAATGATAAAGTTTAAGTTACAATGTGAGATTAGGTTTTAAAAGTTATCAAGTTATCATTAACTAATATATTAAATATTAATTGAAAATAATTATGTTGAACTCAATCAAAATACAAAAGAAAATAAGGAAAAGATTCCAAACTGAAATTTTTTAAGCAAAAAAAAAAAAAAGTAGAATATTGAAGCAAGAACAAACGCTTTAAACAAATTTTTTTTTTTTTTTTTCATTCAAAACTTTTAATATATATTGTGTTTTTTCTTTATTTTAAAATAATTATTTGAAAAACTTAGAGCCAATATTATTTCAGTATAAATTATATCTTTCAAATTTTAAAACACCTATATACAATGTGTAAGAGAGTATTGATTATGATTTAATTAAACAACTTTGTAATTAAAGAAATATAATTGCATTAGAAAACAATTCAGAATACAAGTCAATAAATAGATTAGCAAAAACACTTAATTTGAGCACTTTGAGCACTTACCCATCTTTCATAAAGCTACCTATAAAAAAGTCCACTTCAATTGTTTCAAATAGCACAACAACACAAGCATCTCCGAGTTCAATTATCGAATCCCCTTTGGCACCTAACGGAATACATTAAGTTCAATTCTATATAGCTAGATTTTAGGTTCAAAAATTTAAAAGATAACGTTTTAGTTGAATTAGATTATGTTTTAAAATATAAAGTTTTAGTTAAATTGGATTAGGTTTTAAAAGTTATCAGTTATCATTACTATATATTAAATATTAAATTGAAAATAATTATGTTGACCAATCAAAATACAAAGAAATAAGGAAAAATTCAAAAATTTTTTAGCAAAAAAAAAAAAAAGTAGAATATTGAACAAGAACAACGCTTTAAATTTTTTTTTTTTTCATTTCAACTTTTATATATATGTGTTTTCTTTATTTAAAATATTATTTGAAAAACTTAGAGCCAAATATTATTTCATAAATTATATCTTTCAAATTTTAAAACACCTATATGTGATCTAAAAGAGTTTTCGAGGGAAACTAAAAATTCAAATCTTACATTGGACTTCTCAAAGTTGCCTATTTTATGCTAAGCTCATATCCATTTTCCACGTTTTCTAAATCTGCTGCCAAACAACTCCCTTTTCTTCTCACTTTCTCTCTAACGTAAATATTTATTTCTAATGGGAAGAAAATCTCAGTCTATCCTTGCAATGGAGTGCTTCGGCCGTTGTATTAATGATGAAGTTGGACATGGTTTATGGTCCCCATTTTATCCTTCCCGACGAGGTCCTGGCATATCCCACTTATTCTTCGCAAATGATTTACTGTTGTTTTTTGAAGCTAGTGTTTCACAAATTAATATTGTTAAAGAGTGTTTCTCCAAGTTTGGAGTGGTTTCAGGCCAACAAATGAATTATGCCAAGTCGAGTGTCTACTTCTCCCCATTCTTCTCCTAAGTTAGCTTATGAGATTTGTCAGGCTTCTGGTATGTCTCTTTCAACTCAGCTTGACTCTTATTTCGGTGTTCTGATCTTTAAGGTCATATTAGTAAAGATGCTTTTGATGGAGTATTTGTCTCGTTTGGATTCTCATTTATAGGGCGGGAAGTCTACGTATTTATCTTTTGCGGATAGGGTCACTCTTGTCAAGTTAGTACTAACAGCTCCGCTAATCATATTAAGCAAACTGTATTGCTTCCGGCTCTATGTGCAATGCATTTGATAAAAGGGTCGGACAATTTTTATGGGGTGATGAAGGAAAAAAAATAATAGTTCCTCTTGCAAGGATTTAGCGACATGTCCTGTTCAGAAGGGTGGCTTTAGGGTTCGCACTTATCATGCTATAAATGCCTCTTTCATGGCTAAGTTGGGTTGGCTGCTCTTAATAGATGATAAGCCTCTAAGGGTGGCTATATTGAAAGGAAAATACATGGGAGGACGTTTTGGGACAGATTTTTTCCTGCCAAGAAATAATTCCTTTATTCTTTGGACAGGTATCATTGGACAACTAAATATTCTTAAATCTAGTTTTGGGAAAGTTGTGTTTAATTTGAATTTTACCAATTTTTGGCACGATCTTTGGCTTATTCATGGTCCTTCAAGACCTTTAGTTCTTGGGATCTTCCTGCTGAGTTAGAACATGTGCCTGTTTCTTATTTCTGGGATTATACCGGTTGGAAGTGGGATAGTTTAAGTCCTTGGTTATCTTATCAGTATCTTATGCTTTTGGAACCTATTGTTTATCGTCGCGAACAAATGAATTGAATAGTTGGGCTTGGCAGCTTACTTCAAGTGACTACCTAATTGTTAAATTTGTTTATGCTATTGTAAAATATGTTAATTCTGCAGCTGATGATGTTGTTTAGAAGTTGATCTGGAAAAGGAAATTCTCGCAACGGATTAGGTGCTTTCTTTGGCTTTTCTAGCACCAGAAGTTGTTGGTAAAGCAAGAACGACTTAAGCGGGGATTTACTAACCAGGCTTCTTGCCGTTGCTCATGAGGTATGGTCAGCCTTAATGTCTCCTCCGTTCCTGATTTTATTTAAGTCTACTCCAGCTGCCTCCTAGTTAGTAAATGTTGGTAATCTTGTTTTTTGCATCATCAGCTTCTTTCTCCTTTAAATCTGTTTGCCATCGTGATGTGGTAGCTATGGAGATGACCAAATATATTTGTGTTTAAAGGACTGTCCTTGCCAAGGGATTCCAAACTGCACCTTTTATATAATTGCTTTAAGGTGTAAAATGTGTCATGGGTGAATGCTGCTAGCTATGGAATGCCTCGGCTAAAACTGTTGTTGTTGTTGCTTGGCAATCTCCTGGTTTTGCTTGGGTGAAATGAAATACTGATGGTGCTTCGAAAGGTAATCTCGGTCATCGTGGTGGAGGTGATGTGGTTCGTAATCACGTAGGTCATTGGATTTTAGGGTTTTCTATTCGACCTGGTGTTTTTACATCTATGGTAGCCGAGCTGAGCGCGCTTTATCATGGTCTTTGCGTTGCTTGGAGCCTAGGCTATAGAAATGTGATGGTGATTCGCAGGCCACTATGCAGCTTGTCTATTCCAAGTGGCAACATCTTAGGCATTCTGGAGTTCTTTCTCTCATTCGAGAGTTATTAAGTTGCTCTTAGCATATCAAAATTATGCATGAATAAGGAGCAGCAAGGATGATCATGGATTGGATTCGGATTGGATTATGCAAAATTTATATCTGATGTGTGAAGATATTCATATATTTATGTCCATATCCACTCCACTCAGATTCAGATCGGATCAGATATTATCCGTTTTATTATGTTTAAAATAAAAAATAAAAAAATAATATTTAATAAAAATTCATATTATTTATTGTGCTTGAAAATATAAAAATTCTCAATAATAATTCAAATATTATATAATATGACAATTAGAAGAGACTTTAAGAATTATTAACCGCAAAAAAAATCATGCTAGTCATCGTAATGATAGACTTATATTCTTTTGTTTGAAATAAAAATTAAAAAAAATGTAAAAATGGTGAAAGAGTTAGAGATAATAATTTAAAATATATATAAATGGAAAAGAAAAAAAGAAGAGAAAAATAGAGGCAGCTGCATATCTAGAAATTATAATCAATAATTTTAAAAATATAAGAAAATAAAATAAAATTACTTCTCACAGATCGAATTATGCTCTATTTATATTCCATCCATATCCACATAGATTTTATTTTAAAAATCCATATCCGATTCACCATCATTCAGATCGGATCAAAGCGGATATCCAACTATACGGTCATACGGGAAAGCTAATAAAATTATTGATAGACTAGTCTGCATGGCAGTGGATGGAGAAGTGGGACTACATATCTAGATTCCCCTCCAAGTGAGTTGTTTCTTGTACTCCGGGAAGACATAAGAGTTTCTTTGCCAAGAGTAGTTCATGCTTCTAGCTAATCTGTTTTTTTGTGCTCTCTCCCTCCCTTGTATAAAATATATATATATATATATATCCTTGCATTTTAAAGAGAATTATTTATTAACATATTATTTAAAAGTAAATAAGGATGAAATTGTAAAATTTTATAGCGATGACATTTTCTTTCCTCCTTAATTTTTCGTTCTATCGCACATAGAGTGAAAAATACTGAAGAAAAAATAAAATAAAACAATCGCTAATCGGACAGTCATCCTTTTATCGGGGCAACAAAAACAATAGGTGGATTCTTCCGGTTCACCGTGGAAACACACGATAAATACGATGATTAAATTAATTGATTAAACAAGACATAAATACTTAATATCCCCACGTGGCAAGCAATTAGGGGGCCTGGGAAGGACGAAGAAGGACCTAATCTTCCAGAAACTTCCAGCCAACTTGCGGCGTGAAGAACAATCCAGAAACGCGGTCATGATCACGCCACATGTCGATTATCATTACGTGGCATCCAACGTGGCATATACTACGTCCTTGTAAATGATACGCATCATATTAAAAAAATAAAGTTTGTTTGACAAATCTCAAATGTTCCTCTGAAATACACACCACGGCTTCGTTTTATTCAAGAGCAGACCCCCAAGCGCTCAAAAGAGAGAGAAATAAAGTTAAGTTTCTGCAAGTTGAATTTTTACAGGAAATTTGATTTGTTATTTTGTAGTTTTGTTCCCTGAAATGGCGAGTAATGGTAATAGAGGAGAGGAAGAAACTAAAATGGAGGAATGTAAAGAGACGGCGGTGTATATGTGGGGTTATTTACCGGGTGTTTCACCAGAGAAATCGCCGATAGTCTCTCCCGTTAAAGTACCGTTTCCGCCGTCGATTGGCGGAGATGATTCTTGGAAGGATGTCTGCGGAGGTGGCTGTGGATTTGCGATGGCCATTTCAGGTTGATTTGTTGTTTTCTGGACTTCGATTAATTACTTTTTATTTATTTATTTATTTGTTTCTGTTATGAATTAGTAAGCTTGTCTTAATGATTTTAATCCGTCAAGTTTTAAGATTTGAGGTCCTTTATTGAACGAGCGCGTCCTATTTTTACTTCAACTCTTTATTTGTTCTTATTTATTTGTTCTCTGAAGTAGCTTTTTTTCTTGTTAATTGCTTTAAGAAATGAGTTCGTAACTGTTATTTAGCTTAGATCTGTTTACTGTTTTGCATGTTTGCTCTACTGTTTTACCTCTGGATTTGTAGTTTGTTTCCTCTGATTTTTGTTGATAAGCCTTAAAATATAGTCAACCAAGCAATTCAAGATTTAGGCTTAATTTTTTTTCTTGCTGTGGTATAATTTGCAATTAGGATCTGGAAAGCTCATAACATGGGGTTCGACGGATGATGAAGGTCAAAGTTATCTGACTTGTGGGAAGCATGGGGTAATACAGTGACCTTCTGATTAATGAATTATTTTGCTGCAATTTTCTCTTTGAATTGATTTGCATCTTCTTTCTGCCGCACATTATCAAGGAGATTCCAGAGCCTTTTCCTCTTCCACATGAAGCTTCATTAGTGAAGGCTACTGCTGGCTGGGCCCATTGTGTATCTGTTACAGGTATTCTCTTTTACTCTGATTTATTGTTACTTATTAGTATTTGATAAGTGTGCATTGATGGACTTTGTACAGTCTTTGGCTACTTGATGTCTGCGTACAAAATTACTGCTTTTGTTGGTGCGTTAGGAAGCAATAGTTCCTGGAATTAGTTTTATTATATTTTCAAATAAATTCAATTAGTTTTGATTTTGCTGCAAAATATAGTACAATTACAATTCATTTCTTGCATGTGCTAGTTAAAATTGGTTTTGTTTTTTATTTCAATTTTTAAGGAAAATGTGACATTATATCCATCTTCTTATAGTCCGGCACATATGAAATCTTACTATTTTTTGGATAATGCTAATTAGTGGCCCTGCCCATTTACAAGTTCAAATTAAGAGTGTCTGCAAACTGGAGTACTTGGTGAAGCTCTCAATGGGTACAGTAAAAGCTCATTTTTATAAGCTTATACGGACAGGTTTCAGTCAAAATTTTGTTATGGGATTTGTAAAAGCTCATTTTGATTTTGTTTGTGTTTGTTTAGCTACTTGTGGAAAACTATATGGATAAATGATTTTAAGCTGTCAAAATTGTGTTTTAGCATACTAAAAAACTGCCTTTGTTTTGCACTGTGTTGTGAGTTTTTCGTAATAATATGTTATACAAATAACATGAAATATTAAAATACAAGATATATATTTGAAATATCAGAATGCTAGCAAGGAAAAGAACAAAAAGCGATATAGCCTGTGGGTTGGTCACCAAATCTTCACTTAGTTTCATTAAGGTCATATAACTTCAATTTGTTGGTCTTTTAGTTGCTAAATTTTGATTTTGATTCAAATGGGAAGTCACCCATTGGAATCCAGTGCCCAACAATACTAGCATAGCGCTAAAAATAAAGTATCTTATTCAAAAAAAAAATCTTATTCAACAAATTTATGTGATCGTAATGAAATAAGCATAAAGTTTGGTTATAATTTACCCATTTGGAGTTTTAAGCTCAAACCAGATGACTTTTTAAATAAAAAAAGTTTTAGCAATAAAGTCGATATCAGTTTATGTCAAGCTTGCTTAAAGTTAAATGAACCAAACTTAAAACACCTAGTATTTGTCTTGTCTCAGCTCATTTGTGCCCTTATGTTTGTTTCGTCTCAAGAGGATGGATGATCAAAGAGTAGAAGAGAGAGAGAGAGGAGGGAATATAGAAGTTTATCCTTCCTTTGGTATGTTTGGTTAGAACTTAGAGGAAGGAAATGAGTTTAAACTATGTTTTTATATATTGAATGAAATATTGAAGTAATAAGCTCTTTTTCTTAAGGGTAAAAGTTTAAAGTATCCATCTAGCAACTTCAGCTCCCCAATCCTTTCAAATTGTGATGATTGGTTTTTGTGGCTTCTTAGCAGGATGGAACAGGTTACTTCCTTTCTCATTTTCCCCTAAACCAAATATGAGAATAATGGCTTTCCTTCCAATCCTTTCTCTCCTTTTCATTCCTCTATTTCTGTTCTGCAAGCCAAAGTAGTTATAGTCAAAGTGGGTTCACATGTCAAATTTTCCATTTACACAACGAGCTTGTGACATTTCCCATATGCAGAGACAGGGGAAGTCTACACATGGGGATGGAAAGAGTGTGTTCCCTGTGTAAAAGTCATTCGTGATTCAGCAGCTGCAGGAAGCTTCCAAAAGGATAATAATACAAAACAAAATGCAATGGTGATGGAACAAGGTAATCTTCATTGAAGCTTTTGATCTCATAGTGAAAAAAGCTTCATCCCGAAATACGAACTAATTTTACAAAGGCTAAAAATTCTCAGTGAGTTCAAGGTCTCAAGGATCAAGTTTAACCAGTGGAACAGTTTCTCACTCTGACAACAGAAAGGCTGGAGAGGAAATTATAAAAAAGAGAAAAGTCTCAGCAGTTAAAGAAGAGTTTGAAAGTTCACCTTCTGGAGATGAATTTTTTACAGTTTCACCTTCTCTTGTAACTCTGGGTCCTGGAGTAAGGATCATCAATGTTGCTGCTGGGGGGCGCCACACTTTAGCACTATCAGGTAAATCAACTACTTCTTGGGTCACTACATTGTGCACCCTTAAAAATTTCAGGTAGTCCCTTGGTGGTCACACTATGTAGTTTTGTAGGTTATATGAAGTACGAAGTAGGTTGTATGAAGTACTACAAAGCTATGGAAGGTTTTTGATGTAAAGCAAGACACCTGATCCATCATATTTTTAACCAAAGTTTCAGATATGGGACAGGTTTGGGGTTGGGGCTATGGAGGCGAAGGGCAGCTAGGGTTGGGATCCCGGATTAAAATGGTGTCTTCTCCTCATCTCATACCTTGCATTGATACATCTGCTTCTGGGAAAGACCGGTCCCTGATAGCTCATCAAGGAAGCATGGATCCATCAGCACAAACTCCTAAATTCCATGGAAGTTATGTAAAGGAAATTGCTTGTGGAGGCCGGCATAGTGCAGTAATAACAGGTTAGCATTTAGTTCTTCTAATGATAGAACCATGTCAAATTGTTCCCTGTATTATTACTTTGTGTCCTTGCCATTTCTCTCTCTCTTCTTTTTTTTTTTATATTAGTACTTCATCCCTTCCAGTTTCTTGCATAAATCTGCTCAGTTGGTTTGCATGCAAGTGCAGTTGCATAATACCTTGTGGTTCTTGATTTTTTAAATAGTGAAACTTATAATCGGTTGGCAATATTCTGACGTGCCTCTTTTCTCTTATCTCTTGATCACATTGTAGATGCTGGAGCACTGTTTACATTTGGATGGGGACTCTATGGGCAGGTAAACTATCTGCATATTGAGTGAATTTTCTTATATTGCTTGTCATCTACCGTAGTGCTGGTTGGCTTTTGAGTGCGTTTCTTAAGATCCAATTGGTGCTTATCATAAATAGTTGTCTCCGTGGAAATTTTGTGATCTAGTGTGGGCAAGGAAGTACGAATGATCTGTTGAGACCTACTTCTGTACCTTCTTTATCGGGAACTCGAGTAGAAAGCATTTCTGCTGGGCTATGGCATACCGTGTGCATTACAACCGACGGCCATGTGTATTCCTTTGGCGGTAATCAGTTTGGACAACTGGGAACTGGCACTGATCAGGCTGAGGTACATATGAAAACTGTCTTCTGATGGATTTCCTGGATCTATGTAGGCTATAATTACAGTCTTTTTCCTTTTATGGAGATATGCGGTGGAAACTGGCTCACTACTGGTTTTTTGTATCTGGAATAATTGATCCCCTTTTCTCTCTCTTTTTATTTTTTCGATCTTTCTCTTGCTTACCGATCTGTTAAGTTTGACGTGTTTAAGGTATCTTGAATGTGCATTAATATTGGATATAAAAAAAATCTTTTATCCTTGTAATGCTGGTGACCCTTTGGGGTTAACTTGGTGAGAGGCCTGCTTTGGATATGTAAATTAACTCAAGCATTGATTTGCATGTTATCCTCAGACTCAACCAAGGCAATTGGATGCCGCGAGTTTGGAAGGTAAGCGTGGAAAATTAGTATCTTGTGGAGCTCGACATAGTGCCATTCTGACAGGTACATTTGAAAATATTGGAATCTTGCATTTCATTTCAATTGTTTTTTATATTTTACTTGTATAGTGCTCTATGCACATTAGGAGATTAAATATTTCATGAAATAGTTCAAACCACTTAAGATTCTAATCGATCAAGTTTTTATCATATAGACATTTATCCAATGAGGTTCTCCTTCTTACAGCTGTGGACTTGAATTGAACCCTCTCACTACAACATTCGTCTTGCCTTTGCTACATCGACCCTTCTGTATCAGTAAATTGTGACCGAATGATACAATCAGTTAAATTTGTGACTGAAATTCTGATTATCTTTTGTTTTTGCTGTGTTCTTTATTTAAATTACTTCTTCTATAGTGCGTACAGCGAAGTTAATCATGGTCAAATCTCACTTTTGACCTGGCTCTTCGATTTGTGAATGCAGATGATGGCCAGGTATACAGTTGGGGATGGAACAAGTATGGTCAGGTATTATCCGCAAATTCTTCTCATCAAAATTAACACATTGGGAATTTGGATCACATCCATTTTAGAAAATATTGTGTTATATCATTTATCAATGGTTTTTACCTTGCAGCTTGGTCTGGGGGATTCAATTGACCGTAACATTCCATCCCAAGTTCCTATTGATGGTTGTCAACCAAAAAATATCAAATGTGGTTGGTGGCATACCCTCCTGCTAGCTGACATACCAATTTGACTCCTGTTTGTATGAACGGCTCGAGAAAGAGTTTGATAGTTTTGTTTGACTGCCTCTCCTTAACTACTGTTTCTTTAACAAACTGTCCTCTTATGAAAATTGTAAATACTTTGATGTGTTAATGTTACTTTTCCTTTTTTTTTTTATTTAGAAACTTCATAAATAGTTCCTGACACTTACCACTAGAAGAACAACCGAATTCATACACACACAATAATCCTTGTAATATACAATAGTGTCTTTTAGGTTGAGATGTGTATTGCCTTAATATGAAAGTAAACTCTACTGAAAAAGTGACATTATACGATCAGATCTTGCTTGAGATGGGGTTTCTTTTACGCTGCTGCAGAAGTTGCATGAGAGGCCAGAAAATATCCAGTCTGTGGAATCCCTTGGAAGTCTGTAGAGAATTGTAAAATGGAAAATGCCTTCTCAAATCTTTTGCAATAAAAAGAAATAAAAACAATAATTAATAGAAAAAAACAATAATAAATAGAACAAACAATCTAGTAACTTGCCCCAACGATGAACCGAGCCCAGGTGTCATTTGATCGATTTTCTAGCACGCCCTTCAAGATGGTCAAGTCCAAGCCGCGGATCACCTGGGCAATCTCTAGGAACAGACCATTCTCATTACAAAGCATCTGCAATAGAATATATACATTGGTTATGTGGAACAACTGAAGGAATCAGAGAACTCGGAAATACTGGATAGTTTGACAGACCTCAATAAGCATGTGTCCTGGAAATGCAAGGTCTTCCACTAGTATTGGACACATCTGGATTTCGTTTCCCAATTCAAAGGCCCAGCTAGTTCCTTTTTCGTTAGTCTGTTTGGTTTTCGATGAGCTCCAATTCTTGCAACCAGCAAGCTGTGAATCATTGGCATTAAACCACTCGTCAGAATAGCCTCAAAAAAACAAAATTTCAATTAATAAAGACCCAGTACCAAATTCTCTTTGGATTTTCTATTTACTTTCTGGCCCAAGTTAAATTGATGTTATTCCAAAATTTTACCTGCAGGAAGTACTACCGCACCTCACCTATTATTTAAGAGGCTCGGCCCACATTATTAACATACTTGGGTTGCTCCATGGAAAATTATTGTATGGAAAACCTCTGATTTTCGGGATGCTGACCAGCACCAGTCAAATATGGTGATGAAACTGTTTTTAGTATGAATTTCTCGAAGTACAAAAAAGATTTTCGTTTTCTTTTCTTGAAATACAAAAAAAGATGAAATATTGAACTTAATTCCTTTGCCAATTTCCTTTGCATGCCAAGAATATGTGAATGTAGTCCTCCAAAAATATTTGCTTTAGAACAAAAGCCAGAAAGTGCAATTACTGATTAAGCACCGACTAAGATTTCTTTATATAGAATATGCAAGTTTTAAGTAACAAATGAACCAATAAATTGGCAGGACAAATTTATATGAAAGGTGGACAAATTTCACTTACCTCCTGATGCACACATTGTTTCAACTTCTCAGCTTGATCAGTTACATTTCTTAAATACAGCATGTGTTTTATGGTTCGGTCTAAAAGGCTGTCGATGCTACACTGGATTATCAAAGAACAAGCAAACTTTTGTTCACATAGCGGATAGAAGAAAAAGAATACAATAAAGGAGCTATTAGTTCTGCGACAAATGAATTCTGAGGAAGCACTCACCTTCCCACTATTTGGAACAAGCTCTCGCAACTCCTTCACTCGATCTTGGATCAGCTGTCGATCTCTTGGTCTTGGCCTATGTTGATCACCAGGTCTGGCCCTTCTTTTGACCTTATTCCCCTTCTGAAGCTGCCTGTCATCACATACTCTTTGCTGCTGCTCTTGAATAGAATTTGTGTTCATCATTTTCCCCAAAGTACTTGAAGTACCATCAGCATTCTTGTCCTCACTAATGCATGCAGATGGAAATGGGATTGAACCATTACTCACCAAGGCAATCGTATTATACTGGTTTTGTGGTTTAGGAGAAGCAGCAAAGTCTCCTGAAAAACTAGCAGATGACTTGCAACTATTGGATCTATTAGAAGTGTCATGCGAGCCATTATATGCATTGGCAACTACAGCTTCCAACAGATTGCCACCATCACCTTCTCTAGTAAACAAGGATGGTTCGGTCCTTCCACTATGATTTTTGCTGCAGGTCAGAGTATCCTCAACCATGAAAGACGTGTCCCACAGCTTTTCTGTCTGTTTCCTAAAAGATTGTCCGAGTGCTTTATGCAGCTCACAATCCTCAGGAAATTTAAGAAAATTGCTAACATCTATATTATCCATGATGGTTGGAAGGTTGCCTCCAGATGGTTCCCCTGTCATTTCACTTGCAGGAAAAGAATTCATAATATCAGGGAAGGGTTCCCCAAATGTATCTGAATATGCCTGTAGTTCTTCCAAAGAGAGTTCAAGCAGCTTGCTCTCCACCATCTCCAGTTGGATGGCATCTAATAACATACTTGAAGTTGATATTTCAGTAAGGCTAATAGGTGACATAACAATCTTATTTTCTGTTTCATATTTGAAAGCTTCTGGCAGATCTTCTCTAGCTGGCATAAATGCTTCTTGTATGCTTATCAGGGGCAGAACTTGACTTCCAATGGACGGATTGTCACTATTTAGCTCTACATTGTTGACAGGTATCAGTAAACCTCCCGTCTTCACCGAGGAATATGCTGTAGTTGCATTTAAATATCCAACGGCACTAGATATTGGTGGAGATATTAGCTGAGCTTCAAATTCCTTCTTTATGGAGAAGGCCCCACCATTTCCTGAAACACTGTGAAGGCCGTTGAATCTATCTTTGACATATTCTATTATATTGATATCTTCAGCAACCTGAAAACTAGGGACAAAATGCCATGCATGAGAGAAAACCTAATGAGGTGGCATAATACACATGCATGCAACATAGGCATATGTATGGACAAAATATAATATGCACATATTATTCCCCAATAATGCTGATGACTCCATACTAGAGAGTTATCCAAATCTTAATAGAGAAAAGGAAAACCAGATAGTAGTCATTGAAAACGGTGATATCTAAAATGCTCTATTCATGACCAAAGGAATTGTCCAGCAAATTGTACTATTAACAATTCTACTGTATAGTGAATAGTGGCCAGTTTAAACTGAGAACTTTTGAAATAAAAAAGAAAAAGGTTTAAAGTGAACAAACAGCGCACCTCTTCCAATGATCCAAGTTGCAGAACTCTATGTGGAAGCACAGGTACCAGCAAAATAGTCTGCAGAGGCATTATAAACTTATAATTGATTGAACCATCATTCATCCGGCGGCTAATTGTGAAATTTAAGCAACTAAATGTCAAGCATTCTCGACCACATTTGTGTATGTGTATGCAGTTGCCATACGCAATGACATATGCCTAAAGAGGAGCTAACTAATAGAATAATAATAAAATTTTATTTATATTTTATTAAGATGTCATAGAATATGGACTAAGTTGTAAAATTCTAAACTATTTTGCTTATATATTGAGGGTTGCACTGCACTTCTTACCAACAAATGACATATGACCCCATTATATGATATTAGTCAGAATTAACTTTACCTGGATACCCGATGCAAACTGAAGCAGCCATTCTTCTGGACACTGAATAGAAAGAACAGTATTTTGTGAAGGTTTTTGTTAACATACTTAATCCATTTAATTATCTTTTGTTGCCAGAAAACTCACCTCAGGAATTAACCGGGCTCTGTTAGTGAAAAGATTATTCAAACACACCCAGCAAGGATCCCCTGAAAAAGCCACCTTCCCGACAACCCTGGAAATTTTCAGTAACCCCCTGTCAATCCCTAGTCCCTTTAAAAGTTGAATGATGTTGCATCTAATAGAACCACACTTTGTAAGTCCACTTAGTTTGGTGGTTAATACCCTTATATGCAAAGAAAATGCACGAAGTACAAAGCGATAATGTGATGCCAGCCCTTTTATCTAGATATGCAAAGTATACGATTTAATGACCTAATAAAAGCAAATTATCATAACAAAAGTAAATTATAAGGGGAAAAGATATATAATTCTAAATTAGATGGCTCATTTTTACCCCTCTCCCATGGCATACTGAAGGTGCATCATGTTAGCCACCACATGTCCAACTCGATACTCCTCTGAGCTACCACTGGATGTATTTCTTTCGAACTGTCGAGAGAAAATATCTTTTGCATCTTTGTAGTAAGCAGCATCATCGGTTATACATTCGGCGACTTCTCTTGAATTTGGAGGATTAAAATGCCCATCTTCCCAAGTCAAAATCCTGTCATTAAGAGAAAAATATAGATCTCAAACTAAGCATTTTAGACAGATACTGGCAAACAGTAAAGTATATACTCTTTTAGAAGCGACAGTGATGAATAAGCTGCATAGAAGGTAATTAGACTTGCGTTACAAAATTAATTCCCTTAATTTCACAATATAGATCTAAATGACAATAATTCCATGGAAATTCTGATTAAGAAGTCTTCACTTAAGTGTTAGTCATATATAAGTTGGAGGATACAGAATCCCAGATGCACAAACAAATTAATAAAGAAGAGGCTGTTAGGCATGGAAGGGCCACTTAAGCATGCAATACATTGATGTGATACACAAGCAGATGTATTAATTCACTCCTACTTTACTATTAGCATTCGCCTAGGCATGCATCATCAAGATCCTTACAACTGATTACATATTGACGACTAACAACTTGTACAAATTATTCTGAAACACCTCATTATTATATTATAGGTTGAGAAAATGAGTTATACTTCAGAAACAATTTAATGGTTCCAGCATATTCAACCTACGGCCTTTGAGAGGCATACACAATTCCATTCTAAGAACCTTCTAATAATGACCTAAAAACCACTTCTTCTCTCCATAGATGAGCATCATACAAGGCCACAACATGATATAACCTTAACCATCCTAGAACACCAAAATACTTTGCTGTTCTGATGAATCTTAAGCAATGATATCTTTCATGATGATGGACGTATAAGCTGAAAAGCAAAAACTATGCCAGAATCAAGAGATGTTAGACATCAGTGTTCAATGCACACAGTGGTCAATGCACTCAAATTCATAAATAACACAACTTTAGCAGAAATTAAAGCTAACAGGTGTAAAATTAGACAAAATAAAATCAGTTAGATCTCAAAAGAAACAAACACTAGTGGAGAAATTGTTAGGCAAGAACAACTTACCTTTGGCTCCCATGGCTAAGATTCCATAGTACCGCATAATTCCAGACTGAATTATTGCAAAGACTTTTCAACAACTGCCTCAAAGCAGTAGTTCCCATTCGTTGACTTTCCAAGAAATACACAAATGTCTCTATTACATATAACAAATTTCGCCAAATTATATCCTAAACACTTCACTAGCTGCCTCGATAAGAACCTCTTCCAGCTTGTTTTATCCGCAAACCCGCCCTTCGTTTTATCGGTGGCCCCTTGGAATTGAGCATTAAAAGTACCATTGCTAATACAAGATAAACCTACCAACTCCTGATCGCTAATTTATGCTTATGTTAGAACACTTGAACAAGGCAAAACAGAAAATTCAACTCGATTTTGGCGATCATTTGGTGCAAGCAATCCATGAAATAAACTATAATCAGAGAAAGACCTTAAAAGAACTCCCTCTGCTACTATCAGTTTTAGGTTCAAAGGGAAAATTAAGCGATTAAGGTAAAGTTGAACGATCTCTGCGATAATGGCAACACTCTAACCAGTTATATTCTCAAACACTAAAAAAAATTCAGCTTAGACCACAATCTGTACGTGATCGAAGGCAAACAGCAGAGAGGAAGCACGATTTTGACAAATGAATCACTCACTTACACTGCAAGCCACAAAACGAACAGGGAATCAGCTAATTGCAGGTGGTTTGAGGAACTCCTGTTGAGAAAATGACCAGCAAAAAACAGAAAAGTTCTGTTTTCCACTTAAAATTCATTTTCTTGGCAGCCAAACAGCGGAAAAGAAAGAAAAAATGAGAATTAAAAATCCTACTTACAAGTGGAGGGAGGGTTAGTGATATTGGCAGTGTTCAAATTCGTTGGATTCCATTATCTCCACGATGTCTCCTTCGTGAGGATAAATATTGAAAAGGAGAGAGGAACAGGAGGAGTGGACAGATTCTGCTTTGCTTTTCCACTCTTTTCACACTTCTTCCATGGCCAGAAGGCGAAGGAGCCCACCTTAATATAACACCTTCGCCCCCGGTAACCAGTTACTTTACTTTGTTTCATTTATACTTTTTTATTCCAAATTTGTCCACTATAGTCTGAATTTCAATAACTTGATAAATTCCTTGGGATTCCGGGCCCACAGCTCAGTGGAACTTTTTGTTTTTCTTTAAATTAAAGGAAGGGTAATTAACTGTTTTTAAAAATTAATTTTTAAAAATTAATTCAAATGTTATGTTATCGAATCCTAATAAATTGTAAAATACGCAATACAAATTATTATCATTATATTTGACCTAAAACTGGCGGCATCAAAAGCCGACAAATGAGTTTGTGCCAACCAGCGACGAGATTTAAAGGCCAAAAAAATCCCAAATGAATATTATATATTTGTAATTCGAATATGAAGACACTTTGGACAATAATATTAAAAATAAAAATTTATATAACTTCTACTGGGTGTTGAGATTTTAGCTATTGTTTATTAATATTAATCAAATATAATTATATAGGTCAAAATTCAAGTAATAATCTAAATGTTAGTATTAATTTAAATCTTGATGCTGCCATTGCCATCGGGTACTCCTAATGAAATATATATAGGTGGCATTTAAATATTCAACATTTTTTTTTTTTGAAGAGTTAAAAAATTATATTCTAAAAATATAAAAATTATGATATAATTACTTTAAGATAGTTTTTTATTTCATTTCTTTTTCTCGTAAAATTAAATTTTATTATTTTAAGTATATTGTCAATTCAATTTTAATCGATAAGGTGGAACCGGTCCATAAATCTCTGAATAGTGACTTTTGCCTAAAAATATTTCCATACTTTTGGTACCAAAAGTAGGGGAGAGAATGCTAATATATGAAAATGAAAAATTATATCAACTTACCGAATGATTGTTGTTTTGGTAAGAAATTCAACGGGCTAAAAAAATATTATGAAATATAAAAATATTATGAACTATAGAATATAAAATAATTTTTATATTTATTTATTAAATTGATAAAAATTTTTGTGAGAAAATTTAAATTTGAGACTTTTCACTTTAAACAATTTTAATATGCACATTATTTTTTTTATTTTTAAGGACTTTGCAAAATTTAATTTTTAGCACTATATTATTACAGGATAAAATATGCCGTTACATGAAGATTACTTTTATCCAGTCAATCATTAGTCCTTCCATGCTAGAACAAATACAGTATTTGCAAGTGAAAAAGAAAATATATAGTTCTTATTTTCTCAACCATCTATTCTATGAAGATTCTCATGTAATCTGACTAATGACTACGATAGTGGATGGTGTTAAATAAATAAATAAATAAGAATTATACCTAAATTTACATGGAAGCAATCGTGTAAAGTCTCTAGTTTTAACTTTTTTTTTTAATTTATCTTATAAAATATAAAAAATTTTACATTTTACCAATAAAATAATAAATTTTTTCAATTTTCACCCCTAAATTTTTAAAATTTTTCTCCCTTAATATTTTTCCTCGTTCTATCATTGCATGAAGGAAAATTGTCCAACAAAATCTACTACTTTTTACATTAATGCAAACTCAATTATGAACAGAGTCAAATAAAAACAAAAGATTTATATATTCGACTTTAACTAGTTTAAGATTAACACTTAGTTCTCGTATTATCTGAACAATCTAATCTTACTTAAATGGCAAGTAATAAAATTGACCAAGAAAAAAAAATTTTTTTTAAAAATCCGGTATTTGATTTCTATTTTTAAACAGATTAGGGCAGGTACCTAATTGCCATTATAAGAAAGCATCTTTGACTTGGTTCGCATTATAAAATATTAAAATCATGCAACTTGCTCTTATCAATCAAATTCAAAGTCTAATTATAATAAGAAGAGTCCCGATGCAATGAAACAGACCTTTCTAACGCCAAACCATATAAGGGCTGAAACATTATTTATGTGTTAATACTAATTTATGAGGTGAACAGTCAAGAATCATCCGGACCTAAAACTAAATTCTATTTTGGTAGGTTTTTGCCATTTAGATTCGGATTTAAATTCAACCGATCCAAACCAAACAACCAATTTAATTCGAACCAAATGAATTAATTAACTGAATCTCTCATAAACATTTAACCGAATCGAACCGAAATGAATCGGTTCAGTCGGTAGTTTTTCACGTCCCTAATTATCAATCATCTTTCAATTTGAATATTCAGGCTCCACTAACTTGTAGCTTATAGATTATGACAGGAATATTTGCCTTTCCGATTCCATTCTCTCTTTATGGACAAAAAGAAGAAGAAATTAAAGAGAAAAAAAAAAGTAGAGTTTGAGTAAAAAGACAAAAAAAAAAAAAAAATTAAAAATTTTTTTTAAAAATCCGGTATTTTGGATTTCTATTTTTAAAAACAGATTAGGGCAAGGTACCTATTGCCATTATAGAAAGCATCTTTGACTTGGTTCGCATTACTAAAATATTAAAAAATCATGCAACTTGCTCTTAATCTCAAATTCAAAGTCTAATTATAATAATGAAGAGTCCCGATGCGCAAATGAAAACAGAAACCTTTCTAACGCCAAACCATATAAGGGCTGAACATTATGTTATGTTGTTTAATACTGAATTTATGAGGTGAACAGTCAAGAATCATCCGACCTGAAAAAACTAAAATTTTATTTTGGTAGGGTTTTTTGCGATTTAGATTCGGTTTAAATTCAACCGATGATGTTCTTACCAAACTCTAAACCACCAGAATTTAGATATAGTATCGAACTGCCACGAAATGGGAATTAGGATTAACTGAACTCATCATGTACCAACACAGGTGGTCGTTCAATGTGGTCACCATATAATTGCCGACGCGTCTGGCACGTGAAGCTGGATGACACGGATACACGAAATGATCGGTTCAGATGTGCAGGAGTGTGTAAGTGTATCTTTCACGATCCCGAGTTGAAATAGTTCAGATAGCTGTTAGATTTTCAAGTTTGAAATATTCAGGCAATCTCACTAACTTTTGTAGCTTATATAAGATTATGACAGGAATTATTTGCCTTTTCGCACTGATTCCGATCTCTTCCTTTATGGACAACAAGAAATGAAGAAATTGAAAGAGAAGATAAGAAAAAGTAAGAGTATTGGAGTAAAGACAAATAACAAAAAAAAAATTGAAAATATATAGATGAAGAAATAGGAAAGATAGATAAATAGGGAGAAAAAAATGAAAAATTGTTCCACGTTTAAAATCGCGTGTCCAGGATCCTCACAACTATAAGGGAGCAAATTATGGAATTATTCTTTATAGAATATTTATGATAAGAAACACTGAATTAAAGTACGTTGATCGAACTATTACGACAGTAAAAAAAAAAAAAAAAAAAATTGAAAATATAGAGAAGAAAAGGAAAGATAAAAAAATAGGGAGAAAAAATGAAAATTGTTCACTTTAAAATCGGTCAGGTCCTCAAACTAATAAGGGAGCAAATTATGAAAATTACTTCTTATAATATTTGATAAAACACTAATAAAGTAGTTGACAACTATTACGACAGCTAATAATTACTAAAAAAATTAATTTTGCCAGATAAATTTTAATTCAAGTTCTTTTGGATTGTTATGGTTAAGAAATTTCTAATTTAGTTGAAACTTTCAGCCACGTGATGTATAAAGAAACATTATCTAACAACTTAAAGTCAATAAATTTTATAAATTTAATTTTAAAATTATAATATTTTATTTTTGAAAAAAATAATTTTGAAATTGTATCATTCTTACATTTAATTTATATATTGATATACTATATATATTAACCACCTAACTTATAAGTTAAGTGGCTTATTGGAGTGGACAATGACAATGAAATCGACTTAAGAATTGGATTGGGCCGACATTTTTGCATTTCAATATACAAGGATTTTATTTCTTATTTAATTAATTCAATTCCATCAATGATATTGTAAATAATTTACACTAATAAAATATTTTGGCATCAATTCAAGCGAAACAAGGCTAAATCTTAAGGAAAGAAACGTACTTGTGAAATACTCAAAAAATATTTGAAAATTATTTATCGGTTTTTCTAATGTTTAGAATGCTTAAAAAAAAAAGTTGATTAACGAAAAATATTTTTTTGATAAAAGTGAAAACTAAATCATTTTAAGTAAAAATAACTTTTTTATATAAAAAAAATAAAATTATTTTTAGACATTAAAAGACTTATTATAACTTTAAAAACACAAATTCATTAATTCATCAATTAGTTATGATTACCGATTATTGTTAATAATATCAATTATAGGACACTACCGTTCAATATTACTACCGGTCACCAGCAAGTGGTACTTTTTCTTTCTCATGTTTAACAATTAAAAATAGTTTGGCATTGTAGTTAATTCTATTGGCTAAAAATTCCAAATAAAAACTACTATCACTAACCAAAAACAATTACACATCTTAAAAAAAAAAAAAGAGAGTGATAGCTAAACTTCAACATAATTAAATATGTTGGAAATCTAACAGTACTTATCACCGCGTGGAAGGTGATAACTCAACGACATATCTTCTCATTGGCCGGATTCTGAAAGTGCTGTTATCAAGTTGGGTTGGGTTGACATCATGGATAAAATAAAATAAAATTCACAATTATACACGTGGCAAAACCATATGTAAATATTTGACACCTAAAGCTAAACAAATATATAAATTTATTAAGGCTGAGGTATGTACAGTTGAATTAGGCTGCATATGTATAAAATAAAAGAAATTGATTAAAAAGTCAATCATGAAACAAATATTTATCCGCAAAATTTGAATAAAAAACAAGAATAAGATAGTAACGTATGAACTACCTCTCCCTCCACTAGGTTTAACCAATAAATTAATAATATTAATGCTTGGTACCTTATGGAAAATATTTTTCTTTCATAATTTATTTTCCGTTGTTTAATTACAATATTAAAAATTAATAAATATATTAAAATTTTTAATTTATAAAATCTAAAATATTATTAATAATA